TAATGATGGATATGAAGAAGTTCTTCATCTATCATTAAGAACTTTTTTTAAGTTGCCGCTCTATTTACATGTTTAACTTGTAAAGTCAAATTTGAATGGAGTAAAAAAAGCCAAAGAATTTTTTGATGCTTTGAAGAAAGAATTTACTTCTCTACCAATTTTGTATTGCATCAACTTCTCTAAGATATTTTTTATAGAAAAAAATACATCAGACTTATATTATATATAATATTATTACAAATGGGAGTAGATAACAAACTCCATTCAATAGCTTTTATTTTAGAAAATTTTTCATTGATAGAAATCAACTATAAAATCTATGATAAAGAACTTCTTGTAATTGTGGATTTTTTCAAGAATGACATCATTATCTAAAAGGTGCTTTCAATCCAATTTCAATATATACAAATCACAAGAACTTCAAGTATTTCATGTTGGTGTAGGTGTTAAATTTTTGCCAAGCTCATTAAAGCATGTCATTATCAAGTTTTTTTTTTGAGATCTTATATTGATCTAGAAAGTAACAAGGTTTATCACATGCATTTTTAGATATTTTTTTCTTATACCAAAAAAGAGAGATGTAACTTTTGATTGATAAAGAATGGTTGTTTTGAAAAGTGAGTAATTTCATTTTTATGTAATAAAATCAATATTAAATATTGATTCAATATTTTTTGAGTAAATTCAATCAAGTGTATCCTTTGATCTTCTTATTCATGATATCAAGAATATTTCTTCTAAATCTCATAATACTTCTAAGTTCAAGTTCAAGAATAATCTACTCTATTTTAAAGATTGCCAAATTTTTCAAAAAAAGAAGCATATTTTTATATTTTTCAAGTTAATCATGACTTTCTAACAATCAAAAATTTTAGATATAATAATACTTTGGAGCTAATATTCAAAGTTTTTTAGTGGTTTTAAATGTAAAAGGTTGTGAAAGAGTTTGTATAGTCATATAATATTTATTCAAGTTTAAAAACTCCTTGTCATTGATCCTATAGACTTCTTTAACCATTGTCTATATTAAAACAACTAGAGTCTTCTATTTCTATCGATTTTACTATGGATCTTCTAAATTCAAGTTTATATGACTATATATTTGTGATAGTTGATCACTTCATTAAAATTACATATTTTATATCATGTATAAAATCTATTTCAAGTGAAGAAACAACTAAGCTTTTCTTTAATAACATCTATCACTATCATAGATTACCAAAGGATATTATATTAGATAAAAAGATACAATTTATATTAAGATTTAAAAAAATCCTTGTTAAGATATTAAAGATAGATATAAAAGTGTCTTTGGCCTTTCATCTTCAAACTAATGGATAAACAAAATGATTAAATCAAGTTTTAGAGTAGTATTTGAATTCTACTATCAACTAATATTAAGATGATTGAATAATTCTTTTGCCATTAGTAGAGTTTGCATACAATAATTTCATACATTTTTCTACTTAACAAATTTTTTTTATCAATTATGGTTATCATCCATGACTTGATACTTTTGACTTTTTTAAAATTAATAATCTTGTGGTAGAAGATTTGATAAATCACTTATCAAAGCTACAAGCAACAATGAAGGCATAGTTGAAAGAAGCTCAAAAATAACAAAAGATTCATATAGATGCTTATTACAAGAAACAACCACAATTCAACATGGATAACAAGATATGGTTATTTCATTATAATATCAAGAGTACTTGTTCTTGTGATAAGTTGGACTATCATAGGCTTGAACTTCTTTCTATTTGTAAACAAATCAATCATATTGCTTATTGATTATATCTATCAAATTTTATAAAGTTTCATCTTATATTTCATGTGTCCCTTTTTGAGCCATATAAGACAATGAAAATCTCGAAAAAAAGACAAATTCCACCTCCTTCTAAAGAAGTGGATAATAATCAAGAGTTTAAGATGGAAGAAATCTTATATTCAAGGTGGTGTCAAAAAAGATTAAGATATCTTGTTCATTGGTGCAGATATGATATTAATGAATATACATGGGAGCCAAGAAAGAATCTTGTCAATACAACAAAGAAAATTGAGACTTTTATTGATGACATTTGTGAAAATCAAGATGAAAAAAAAAAAAAAAAAAAAAACAAGATCCATGAAAGATGATGACCATTCTTTGTAAAATTTGTCTCTATGAAGAAGAGAGAAAAGGAGAGAGAGAAGAAAATAATTTCATGGATATATGTATTTATTCTAATAATTACTTATATGATTAGGTAGAAGTAGGTAAAAGTAGATTAATTTCATTATATCTTTTAGAAAAGCTTCCTAAAAGCTTCATAGATGAAATTTTGACTTTAGACATGTTTGTAGTTGATTGATAAGTTATAAACTTGGTCAATAAATTAATCACATGTTATACGTGTTGATAGCTTATGGAATAAGTTAATTATGTGATATACATATATAAAAAAATTATCTTGTAAAGCCAACATGTATTGGAGATTCTATAGAACATTGATACATAGCTCTTAGTTAGATAGTACATATGGGGGCAAGAGTGAAGTCTTCTTTACTCTTGTCAATGCCTTTCTAGTTTTTAGTTTTATTTCAAGACTTTTTAGTCTTCTTGTCTTTGGCAATAACCATTCTAATTTAATATAATATGATCTTTGAATAATTATCTAGTATTTTTGAATGATACAAGAGTATCTTGATCTTTGAGTTCTTCAAGATTCATGTCTTTGACAATGATACATCCATGACATTTTACATCTATTTAGAATTCCTTGGAGAAGCTATATCTTAAATCCTAATGAATAATTAGGTAATTTGTAGAAAGTGTCTATTTAGAATTCCTTGGAGAAGCTATATCTTAAATCCTAATGAATAATTAGGTAATTTGTAGAAAGTGTCAATTAGAGAGTGATAAACTAGATGTTGCTAAAGAACTGATTTTGAACTGTGTTGTTTTCTAAATAAGATATATTTGAGATACACAGCAAATGAAAGAATGAGTGTATGAAGATCAATTAATCTTTTAACCCTTTTATTACATACTAGAAACAACCAACTACTTGACCACAATACAATACCTAGTGCTCAACACAGCCTTGATTCCACTTGGAAGAACAAAGTTAAATACTACGTTCAATGGTACAGAATGCAAGCCTTGAATGCAATACGTGAGACAAGTCCCCTCAGTTCAAGAATTGCAAGGCTAAAAAAACAGGAAAGGAACTTCCAAAATCCTCTTTCCATCTTATCACTGAAGTCACGTTACAATTCCTTATCACTCCTTCAGAATGAACTTAGAAATTACAAGGCATGCAGGTCTGTCCTTAGGTGGCACCAACTTGGTCACACATTGCACCATCTTTGTACTGGATTTGGTGCTGTTGCATTGACAACATCAGCCATGGATTACATCGTTTAGACGCATTTCATTTTTATTTTCTTACTGCCATTTGGTAGCTGGTATGTGGCAAATCCTCCCTCAAAACTAAATCCATCAGGGATCTCTGGGGTTGCATACTATCCCTGTTTGTAAATGGTATTTCGGCACTTCTACACACAATGACATCTCTCCATGGGAATAAATGTATGGACCAAATATTCACGTTAGAAACTAAGACACTAACGGCATCACACTAACGGTAAGGAAGAGAATATAATGTGGAATCCTGATTTTTTCGAGGCTGATGAGGGTTCAAAAATCTTCACCAGGGCATGCAGACACCATTTTCCTACATCTACACTATCTTCGAATGCATCCAAGAGAAATGCTACAGTGCCCATGTAAGTGCCACCAAAATTATTCACATTCTAAGAAGCATTCATGAACAAATAACACTACAATTACAGTTTCTCTACATGAGTGGTCAATGGAGGAATAGCCAACCACTGCCCTCCAGAGCTTCAAGATCCACCTGCAAAATTGGAGAAAACAGACACCAACTTGGCTGTGAGGACACACAAAAACGAAAATCAAGAAAGAGTTTTTATTTTGGGACTTTTAAAGTTATCTGCTCATATCCATGTTAAAGAAAAGTACAGCACGCACATAAAGAATGCAAGTGAGTAGGCATATTTTGAACACAATCAAATGGGAAAATCCCCACAAACTGATGATGTATGGATCAGAACAATACTAAAAGGCACACATCGTGCACAGCCGATTAGTTTCTAACTACCCCCACATGCAACAGTAGCTGGTCGTTTGTACTAGCCTACTGGCAAGCCATGTAACTGGTACTTTCTTGCTGTAATATCCTTATCCCTCTTTCGAAATTTATTAGAAAAATAAAAAAAAACGCAACAAGAGGCCTTCAAACTGAGCACGATCAGTCAACCCTAGAAACAAAGTATGTTACTTAGATTCCAACTACTGTAGGTTCTTGTTGACAGTGCACACTACTTACAGAATTTTTGTATCTGTAAATACTTCCAGACTCTATTAAAGTAGAAATGGTCCACTTAAACTTTACCTGCTCGTTACTACCACTTCACATATGTTTATCATATTCGTAGTGCCCCCAACATATGATATAACCTTGTAACCGCACAAAGACGTATTACTTGACTTTCACTTTCAAAGAGGAAGATATCTCTACGACTGAACATAGCATGTACATATTCAACATGTTCGGTATTACTCGGTTAGTTTCGTATGAAATTTCAGATTGTAACAAGAAAAGGTAACAATCAATGCCTATTACTGACTACAGTACTCGTGTGGATGAGAAACCTTCGATTAAATTGGAAGATGGACAAATTACTCAAACGAAATGAAGAGGAGGCCAAATCCATGATCAAGTTTATCAGAAAATAGTTCATAATGCGTAGGTCTGCAAATCAGTTGGGGGTAGGCAGCATGCGTCAAAGTGAGGTTCACGCGGAACTGATGAAAAGAGTCTAGGAATATTCAGACATCCATTCATCGAGGAACTAAAAATTTAAACAATAAATTCATAAGTTAAAGGAAACGAAGTACAGAAGAGAAAAGAAGAGAATCCTCAATGTAGTCCAGATTCACTGTGGTTTAAATCAATGGTGTTGACGATGGTAACGAGTACACTTTGATTCTTGTTCTTGTATGCTTGTAAACCCTCATTTTCGAATACTTCACATTCACCTTTCAGTAACTTAAGTTCACGAAGTTGGGGTTAGAAAGAAATGCATAAACTACCACTCGCTTGCCCATCAAACATACCTCCAGCGCGAGGCAGACCTAGCTAGATTCCTTGGCGCACTCGACGAACAGTTGCCTCCCATGCCCTGCAGACTTGTCATGACCTCCATAAACTGCTGTCTACGAGTTTAAATAGTCCTCATTAATTGACTTAATCACTATATAGTCCTGGATTAATTGGATTAATAAGGTTTTACTGAGACTCTGAATATGTATCCATCTCGTCAAAAGAATCTAAAGCTCACGAAGTCAAAAGATAGAAAGAAATTTATATCTAAAACACAGTTTTGAATTTAGTGAAGAATCCTCATCAACACCTCAAAAGCCTAAGCTTCTATTCATGGAGCTCGGATTTGTCTTCAGCTGAGGATACTTTAGTCCTGTATATATCAGTATGCAAATGCAAATCTTCATTTTTATCCCCACTTTTGACACCAGACTGCACTCCATATTGAAAAGCTCAAAGAAAGCCAGAACTGTTGAGTGGTTTGGCATGGTGAAAGGTCTTTACGAAGTTTGTGACGCGGTGCTCATACCTCAGCAAGGTGGTCGTGTTAAAGACTTTTCTCATCAAATGCAGGCGTCTCAATTGTGCCCGCAACAATGCGCACAACATTCCTGTAAATGAAAATCACCCGTATCAGTTCAATCAAGACAATCGTCTGTTTCACAAGCGGTTAATGTAATGACGCCCAACGTAACTCAACAAATGTCACATATTAACGTAACTAACAAAAGAATACAACTGGGGTTGAATGGACCAGAACAACAAGAAGCTCCTATTTTGGAGCCGAGTAGACCAATTATGCTACCTGCAATTACAAACAAGCGAACAGGTCGTCTAAAACCACAGTTTTTTATATTGTGTTTCACCCAAGTTTCTGTTTGTGAGATTTCAGGACTTCTACTCAGGCTTTGAATGTTTGATGAGGTGTAAGACCCTAATGTGTCTACTGTTTCCGAGCATAGATTATGTCAATTCATCATCACACGTTTTTGAGCTGCAAATGTTAGAACAAGATTGCTTTCAATCTACGGAACAGTATAACCAAGACCTTCCAACATCGAAATGAATGTATATGAAAATATCCTTCTCTGCACGGATTCCGAACAGGTTTCACAGCATAGCAAACCTATCTCGCCTGTTACCGCAACCTGCAGTTCTTGAGGTCTGCTTTTAGCTGGAAAAGAAGAAGAAGAAGAAGAAGAAATTAACTTAAGAATCCGCTTTGAACCCGCTTGCTGGATATCTTCTACAATCTGAGATTCCATTTACGAATTAATGACCTTTTAATGTTGTGCACTTGAAGCCTCAATTCTCAGGCCAGAACTTCATGTATGATCCAAGGAAAATAAAAGTTCAATAAGAATGAAGCAGATAAAATGAGGGGAAAGCAAAGGTAACATGATCATATGAATATTTAAGGATATTAGCCAGGTGTAAAAAAATAAGCTCTTAGATCAGAAGCACCAGGTGAACTTCTGAAGCTCGATAAACAACCACCAGAAAAAGTCTCTCGAGTCTGAAATTCAGAATGGGTTAAAAGCCGATCTAAATTTTCACATGCATCAATGCAGGACACAATCGGAACTGCATATGAAAATCAGGCCATCTTTTCCAGGTAAGTAAAATAAACCCGCTTGCACGTAGATATATAGAAACCAATGATAGATGAAGAGTTTCATACCTGCAAATTGTTCCATATACTGTCGACGAACTTTGAGTCATTAAATCCCCGAGTGCTCGTGATGGCCGCAATTATTGGATTATATAAAGAGCACACCTAGTTCAGTCAAGTTGACTGTAAGATACAACGTAGACTTAAAATAGAAAAAAGATTGCGATATAGGATAACATGAAAAGAAGTTAAACGGTGAGTTTAGTTGATGGAAAAATTAGAAGTTACGGCATTCAATGGTGTCAATTTTTGTATATGTAGAGTTCAGCAAGGATGAAACTGACACTATCTTCAATAGAAATTTCCTTTATGGTATCAGTGGGTTGAAGAGAGGTAGTTAATCACTAATGGTGACATGTTTTTAAGATACATGGGAGAGAGTCACTTAGGTACTATTATAAAATATTTTTATAGCATTATTTTGAGAATAAAGATTTGTAGAAGGAGCACAATCAATACAGATAGAATAAGGTGTTTTGAAGAAAGACTTTAGAAATGAGTAAGATTGAGTTATAAGAACATCAATTTGTGGGAGAATCCAACAAACTAGTTGGAGGTAAGAATTATATATGGTAGTCTAGAATGAGATCTATGCTCATTAGAGAGAACATATAGCCAATTGTAAAAGTGAAAGAGAGAGCCTACCATGTTTTCCACATTAATTAGATAAAAACATTCTACTATGGCACCTTTTTAGCAAAAAAAGAACAAAGCACACTTAAGAATCTTAATGTCTATCTACAATAAATTTGTAGACACAGTGATGGAAAAGTTAGATCCTACTAATACATGGAATTCACTCAAAGAAATTTATCAGAGGATAGATCAGTTCCAAATCACGTTGTACTCAAATATTGAGAAATTGAGGCTTTATCTACAACTGAGGCAGAATATAGGGCCTTGTTGAAGGTTGCAAGAAAATTTAGTTATTTGAGGAGATTACTTGAAGAACTATATATATATAAAAAAAATAAAAAATAAAAAACGAATTAATTTTTTTTGTGATAATATAAATTGCATAAAATTAATAAACAACCTTGTAATGCACTCAAGAATGAAACTTATAAAATTACGGCATCATTATATAAGAAAAATGATACTTGATTTATGTATTAAAGTAGAGTTTATTCAAAGTGGATATCAGGCTAATATTTTAAAAAAATTACTCAAAAAATTACATCATAAATAAAATAGAAAAATACAAGGATTACTTTAGATCTCTTACAAAACTAAAACTAAAAATTAAGTCTTTCTTTTTTTGAATCCAATTGATTCAAATTATATTCCAAAAACTAATGCTTTTTAATTAAACTTTTGAAGTTAGCTCAAAAAAAATAATTTACCTCGGCTTGACACTCTAATCAAGAACTATATATATCAAGATGACAATCATTTTTTATAGTATAAAATTTTCTTGATTTTGAAATTTTACAAAGAGTTTCACAAAGAATAATATATTGATGCCTACCAAATGCATATAAAAAAATCTTATATAGAAAATTAACCATAAAGTGGAAGAATCTTAACACCAATGTAAAAATCAACTAAGCCAATAGACAACAAAGTTGTACTTGTGAAACAAAAGAAACAAATCAAAAATTATGTAAAAGAAAAAAGAAATATATAATAAGAGATGAAGGAGCTTATTAATAACAACTAAAGATGAGCCATAGTATTAGTAGAAAAAGTACAAGAAGAAATAAGCGACATAATTGAAAAAAATTAAAAAAATTAGAATTGAAGGAGAGTTGGATAATTTTAAGAATAATGTAATAGGATATAGATAAGTTATTTGTATTATTGATACATAGAGATAGATACTTGGAACCATGTTTGAGAAGTTATAGAAGATTTTAGAATTAGAACTAAGTTAGTGGACTATATAGGATCCACCATGGAACATTCTAAAAAGAGTTTAGGATAGTTATCTATGTGGGATCCATCATAAAACCTTCTAAAAATAATTTAGGATGGTTATCTAAATGAAGCCTATTATAAAACCTTCTAGAAATAATTTAAGGAGGTTATCTAAGTGGAGTCTATCATCTAAGAACATTCTAGAAAGTTCATGGTGATAGAATAAAGTATAAATAGGACTAGTCAGGGCCTTTTGGAACATCTAGTCAAATATAGCTTTGGTCTTTTTTTCATAATGAAGTTTGATTTTGTATCTTCCTATTCAATTTGTTTTGTTCTATTTTTATTTTTTTAATTTTATTGTTTGTATTTTATTCTATTTAGTTCTATTCGTTTTTAGTTTTGGTCCATTTTATCCTACTTTGTGATTTGATTTAATATTGTTGTAGGTTAGAAGGATCTTAGATTGTTAAGATAAACCAATCTTGTTTCATTGGTATCAAAGCAAGTACTAGATTATTTTTTGGTAATATGTCATCTACTTTGAGGTCAGTTGATGTCATATTCTGGGACTTCAAGGCAAGAAGATGTATGTCAATGCTCTTTAACATGCAACAATATATCCAACTATCTGGGGCAAATACCACTAAAGGAATTATATATGTATCCAACTATTTGATAAATGTGAGAGCCATTTGGTGGCAACATGAAGTTTAAAGCTATCAAGCTCAAGGTGGATTTTGTAATTGACAGGAATTAAAGACAGAATTTAGGAATTAATTTTGGCCTATTAATGTGGAAAAGATAACACACGATTAGTTCATAAATCTTACACAATCTAGGTCCGTAGAAGATTATATCTCTCAATTGAAGTCCCTATGTCTCTAAATTTACAATGTTTCAAAGGTAGAAATGATGGATCAATTTCTATGAGGTTTGAAATCTAAAATCCACCAAGAGGTGGAACTAAAGGATGCACAAATATTTGAATATGCAATTAGGATTACAAAGAGGGTCAATGCTATAGATTTCAAAAATTGTAGAGTACAACATGTAGCATGAAGTCTTATATCGCTATCTAATACTATGGCACAAAAATCAATACAAATGGAGATTGATGCCCTATAAGGATTATTGACACCACAAAGATGATAAATATTGGTGCAAAAGAGATTGTGTTTCTATTGTTTAGAGTCAAGCCATCAGATCGAAGGTTGTCTAAAATGTCAAAATTCAATCACGAACAAAGCAAAGCAGATATATAAATTTGAGACTCACTAAGTCGATAATGAAACACACTAACGAAATAAGGTCTCTAGTAAAAGAACCAAGGGCCAATATTAGAGATAGTGATTGTTTGTCAAAGATAAATAGCATGGCCTTAGACAACTATAAAAAAAAAGTAGACTAGTGCATCTAATGGGACTACTAAGAAGATAGCCATATCAAGTGCTTGTGAATTGTGGCTCTACAAAAAATTATATCTTAACTGAAATTGCAAATTGACTTGGGATTAAAATTAAGGTAATCAAAAGATGAAGTATATACCTTATAGATGACCAAGAGAATGTATTAAGTGAGATATATGAAGAAAAAACCTTAAGGTTGATTTTTACTTACATTCTAAGAGAGAAGTTTAAGGTAACAAAGCTAAAATATGATGTTATCCTTGATATGTCATAGCTAGAGGTGAAAAATAAGCAAGTTGATTGAGTAGCAAGAACAATCTCTTTCAAAGATAGTGGATACAAGATGACTCTTTGTACCTGTGTATCAAGTGAAGAGGAAAAATAATCTACAAGTAAAGACTTATTCGTAGGGATGACCTTTATGAAGAAGCAAATACAACATAAGCAATTGGTATATATAGTTGTTCCAAATCTTGCATCAATGGTAGAAAAGAGAGCGAAAAGAATAGAATAAAGAGAACAATTATATGACAAATATTGGGATGTCTTTTTAATTGACCTACCTAGTGGCGTGTCTCTTAATCGAGGTGCCCTCTTTCAAATAGAACTATTGCTTGAATCCAAACTGAAAAGTCGACCAATTTATTGCTTAGCAGCAAATGAACTTGAAGAACTACAGAAGACATTGAACAAACTCTTAGAAAAGGGCCTCATTGAAGAAAGCACATCACCCTAAGAAACATTTGTATTCTTTGTATCCTAGAAGGATGGTGGACTTTGGCTTTGCATCGACTATCAAGGCTTTAATAAGCAAGTTATTAAAAATACATATCAACTTTCATACATGGATGATCTTGTTAATCAACTTTGAGGTGTGACTATCTTTAGTAAATTGGATCTTTGGAGTGGCTATTAGCAAACACCTGTCGCAAGAAAGAATATTGAAAAGATGATATTTTGTATACAATATGGATATTTTTGAATGACTTATTTAATCCTTTGGCTTCACCAATGCTCCAACCTCTTTCATGGATTACATGAATAAATTGTTCCACAATCTTTTGGATAAGTATGTAGTTATTTTTATTAATGATATCTTCATATATAGTAAAATCCCTGAGGAGCATGAGCAACACCTATAAGAAGTATTGTGCAAGCTACAAAATAGTCACTTCTATTGTAAGCAATCAATATGTGAACTTTGGAAGTCAAAAGTCATCTTTTGAAGGCATGTGGTGTCTTTTGAAGGCATGTACATGGAGCAAAATAAGATGAAAGTAATAGAAGATTGGCCAATCCTTAAAGATGTTTGTGAAGTCTGCTCATTTTTAGGCCTTGCTCTATATTATCACCATTTTGTTTAGCAATTTGTACATATTGCTGCCTCATTAATAAATATATTAGAGAAGGGTGCCTCATTTGAATAGAAACTGGAGCAGCAAAGCGCCTTTGATAGGTTGAAGGAGGCACTCATTATTGCTCCAATATTGCAAGCATGTGATCCCAACCTTCCTTATTCACTTAACATTGATGCTTTCAATTTTTCTATTAGAGCCGTCCTTCAACAAGACTTTGGTAGGGGCCTTCAACTTGTGGCATAAGAATCATACAAGCTGAGAAGGGCAAAGCGCAATTACTCTATACATGATTAAGAGCAATTAGCAATTATACATGCCACAAAGGTATAGCAACACTATTTGTTAGAGAAGCCAGTGGCTATTTGAACTGACATCTAGAAAATATGAAATCACGACATCATCATTGGAAAGAATAATTGTAGTTTTTTAATATCCAGTTTAAGTATAAGCAAGGGTAAAAATATATTGTATCAAAAAACTTATAGCAAAGATTAGATTTGAAGGCCAAATCAAGAGACAAGGTAGAAGTTGCTACCATTAATATTGTCATTTCAAACCTAATCAAAGAGATAAAATAGATAGAAGCTATGCATTGCAATGTTTATTTTAAGATGGTGAGCAATCGACTGAAGGTAGACAATATTTAATATGAAGATTATAGTCTTAGTGATGGCTTATTCTATTTCAGGAGGCAGATTTATCTATTTAAAAATACTATACTCGAGACGTATATATTTCATGAAAGATATGACATCATAATATTTAGACATCTAAAGTAAGAAAAGATTCTTAAATGAATCTTAAAGACATGATTATAAGTAGGTTTGGATCATGATGTTTGAGCTTTTGTGCTCTCATATGAATTAATTAACATAATGAAGCACACAATACAGCATCTTTTGAACTATTGCAACTAATTCTATTACCTACAACACATTGAAAGTAGGTGATTATAGATCTTATTATGTATTTGCCGCAGATGGCTCATAATCACATTGCAATTATTGTCTTTGTGGATCAACTCTCAAAGCAACTTCACTTGGCTACAATGCGCTTGGATATTGATATCCCAACGCTTACATGGATCTTCTTCAATAATGTCTTTCATCACCATAGATTACCTCATATCATCATTTGAGATTGAGATTCATGCTTCACAAGAAATTTTTGGTAAACCTCGTTCAATCTACTAGGTACATGACTTGCCATGTCTATAGCCTTTCATTTTTAAACAGATAAACAAATTGAGCATACAAATCAGACCTTGAAAAATATATTGTGGGCATTTGTAATAATTCATTATAATGACTTGAATGAATATTTGGCATCCTTAAAGTTTGCTTACAATGATAGTATTCAAGCAAGTACTAATCATTCACTATTTTTTCTTAACATTGGTCAGCATTCGATTATACCAATAACTCTCCATTGTTCTATTGATACTAAGAATCTGACAATGGAGGAGTTTATACAATAACTTACAACGGCCTTATAAGAGGTACGATATCGCCTTTTTATTACACAAAATCAATAAAAGCAATATGCAAATAACCATTGACAATACAAGACCTTTCAAAAGAATGATCAAATATTACTTTCCAATGCCAACTTGTCACTTGCTACATCAATCCAAATCCATAAATATGCACCTTAGTGGCTTGGACATTTCCATATTTTTTCACTGATTTTTGATGTCACATACCTCCTCAAGTTTCTGCCATATATTCAGGTTCATCTAATCTTCAATATTTTGCAACTGAAGGAATTTCATACTAAGTCAAAGCACTTTTTGAATTGACATCAACTACCACCACTAGTTGTAGTTGATGATCAACAAGAATATGAAGTGGACAACATTTTGGAGCATCATTACCTTCGCCATGGCAATGGACATCCACAACTTTAGTACAAAGTTCTTTAGAAAGGTTATTCCATCCATGATACAATGTAAAAATCTACATAGAACCTCATCCATTGCCAAGGAACAATTTGGAAATACCATTAAAAGAAAAACAAGGATGTTCCATATTAGTGATAGGGAGATTATCTATAACATGATATAAATAAGATATTTGTATTCTTGACATATAGAAATAAATAGTTGGAACTATATTTGAAAAGTTATAGAAGTTTTTAGAATTGAGGCTAGGTTAGTGGATTATGTAGGATCCACTGTGAACCATTCTAGAAAGAACTTAGGACAATTATGTAAGTGAGACCTACCATAAAACCTTCTAAAAAAAACTTAGAGTGATTATTTAAATAGGGCCTACTACAAAATCTTCTAAAAAGAATTTAGAATGGTTATCTAAGTAGGATTCATAATCTAAGAACATTCTAGAAAGTTCAGGGTGATAGAACAAAGTATAAATAGGACTGGCTAGGGCCGTTTGAGGCATCTAATCAAATATGGCTTTCGATCTTTTTTCTTAGTAAAATTTGGTTTTGCATCTTTCTATTTAGTTCTATTTTTTTACTATTTTTATTTGCTTAGTTTTATCTTTTGTATTCTATTCTATTTAGTTTTGTTCAATTTTGGTTTTGGTTTATTTTGTCCTACTTTGTGATTTGGTTTTATGTTGTTGTGGATTAGAAGGATCTTAGACTCTCGAGATAGATTGGTCTTATTTCAAACAACCCTAGTTTAATCAAGTCAACTATAAGATACATGGACTTAAAATAGAAAAAATTGCAATATTGGATAGCATGGAAAGAAGTTAAATGGTGAGTTTGATTGATGACAAAATTAGAAATTACAACATATAACATTAAGTGTCAATTTTTGTATATATAGAGTTCAATAGATGTAAATGTCACTATCTTCAATAGACATTTTTTTTAGCAATAATATTTCTTTTAACAATAATCTTTCATCAATTTGAAAATATTCATTATCATTTGCAAAAACAAAAATTTAAAAATCCACTCAAGTAGTAACGAGCACAGCAGTACTCACAAGAAAGCTCACGCTCACGAATTCTGCCAAAAAAGTGTTGCTAATACCCCTTGTTACCAGTTACGAGGCGCATTCCAAATTCTGCTACACATCGATCATGAATTCATATTATCGCATGTGTGATCTCCTGCAGAGGATCTTTGCTATGATTTTTCACCAAGGATAGAGAAAGTCACCCTTCCATCCCAGCAGCATGTGCTAAAAATCGTAGCTGGAAACACGCCATCGTAATTCTAAAATAAAAAGCGAAACTCATGATAGAGCGCCTCAGGCACAAAGAATTTGAAGAGACATAGTTGCCATGACCCACCTGCTTGGCGATTCAGAGCAGCTTAGAAGCGGCACCAGCATCATCCTTGAATTAAGAGGCAGGTCCCTGTCTAAGAAATGGTTTCAATTCTTGGAGGGTGCCGATGCTTGCGATAAAAATACCCATGTAGGTGTGCAATGTCAAACTACTAATCCCCGCCTCGCTTTGCAAAAGCATTTAAGGATGGTGGAAGGGGAGTGGAGAAATATTAACTGGCAAGCAAAACAAATGCCCCAATCATAATAATAGTAACGATAATAATCATAATCCGCAATCTACTGGTGAACTAAAGCTGCAGGAATCGCAGCTTGTGCACCATGAGCGATGAGACGAAGTAATGCCGCCTCGATTCCCCCCATTTCTCTGCTCTCAAGGCTACGAATCAAGTCGCCCTTATCTACAATCGTGAACCCACAAGCTCAAGCATGGTACTCAATCAGCAACTGAATTGTCCAAAATAATGCACCGTCTGTGGCAGATCACATCCCCCTATATCTTGCAACAAGCATAATTTACACTGCAGCGACAACGTAAGCAAGAGAAATTCATGCTGCTATAACTGGTTGGTACTCACATATGCACAGGCAGAGTGAAACCTCTGAAACTGCACTAACGTGAATTTGCGAGACCAGTTCCGCATGCGAGCGCGCGATGGCTTTTGAATTAGCAAGTGATCGACGTCGCAAGGAGCGTGTAGGACATTATGACCCAGTCCAAGGTCCTGTCCCCCGGGGTCGCCGTCCTCGGACGGGAGCATTGACAATGCCACTTTGTGACAACGATCTCTGAGGCTCCACGAAAGTATCGCATAACGAGGAAGGAACCATCGCCGCCACCCACTAAAGTATGATTGACTGAGATTCTGCCCATGCCTCCATTCCGTCTGTACTTCAAGGCCATGTCCGAGGGTATCTTTCCTCTTCTGAGATCCCACGACCGGCTATGGCGATCACCACCATGGAGCCTCGCGATTCCCTGCTCCTCATCGTGCTCTGCTACTTCTTCCTGTTCGTGCTGCAGGACGTGCTGCAGCCCATTCTGTTTGTATTCCTCCTCCTGTTTGTCGCTTTCGTCACCTTTCAGCCAGCTCATGATCCCCATCTCCACAGACCACGCCGTTAGAATTAGATACCTAGAATTCTCCTTCATCTTGTTGAACGTGGTTGTTCTCGCCCTGTCTCAGTTTTTGGGTTACCATGGCTTGTTCGATGGTAGTAAAATTGGCGAGATTGGAGTAGGGAAACATAGGCAGGTGTCGCGTGATATGTACACTTAGAGTATGACGATGACCAGTGCAGGATAAATTTTTGTCGAAATTTGTAAACTAGAGATGAGGATATAATGGTGAGATTATGTGCGAGGTTGTTTGGTTAACTTGGCCATCAGGTTATTCGTGGTCCGAATGATATTGTGGATTTAAGTTTCCTCTAGAATAATGAAGAGACCATTATCGATTAGGCTGCTGCGGTTTCTATGTGGCTCGTTTATACTAGGCCTCCTTGCATTCGAAAGCTTTTCGCTCTTTGTTCTCATGAAATGCTGCTCTGAAACCTAACTCCTGAGGATTGGGAGTATCAAGTATTCTGTGCCTGCTGCCAGCTGTGGAGACACCCTCCTGTTCAGAATATGGTAAGAGATGATTGATGCTGCGAATATTTTCTGCTTACTCTCTGCTTGACACAAATTGAGTCATGTGCTGTCATGAATTGATTGACTTGTGTCTCAACTTGCAGAGCCGGTGTACTTCAGGATCATTGGCAATGAGCTGGAAATGAAGCTTACAAATCAGGAGCGTGTATGTGCCTTATGTAGATAACTAGGTATATCAATAAATTCGCCGAATTCGCATGTTGATCATTCCGCTTTGCGCAAGAATTGAGATACCAAGCCTAGTACTTAAATTTTTCCGCTAGTTTTGAAGTGAAGGGAGTTATCATCCTCGAGGAAATGTCTTCTGAGAAGAAAATAAAGCTGCTCCATCCATGTGAATCCTTCTCTGGCGGTTTCATGTGTATGTTCTGTGTCTAGGGTGGGATTAACTGCATCAGAGCAACCATACCAGCAAGCAGCTAATTGAGATCGAATCATCCTCATGTAATAATCAAAAGGTTGTTTACATTACACTGTTTCAGTGCATATTGATTAGATCTTTACTGTCCGATTGATTAGACACCGTTGCATTTGTGTGTGCATATTGATATCATGAACATTAGATGAGATAGTTCAGAAACGGGAGATGGAGAGTTACTGCAAAGACGAGAGAATATGGAACAAGACGTAGGACCTAAATTAACAATGCATGTAGTTTAGTAGTCATTACCTGAATCACCAGCAGTGGCTTAGCCTCATCTCTTAGTAGACACCTGATTCATTTGGAATGATGCACTCGGATGCTTTGCAGAACCGAGAAATGATGCAGTCTTTTTTTCCTTTTCTAAAATTGTCTATTCTTCTCAAGCTGCTCCAACATCGTCGTTGCGAAGTGATCTATTTGAGTGGCGTTCAGAAAAATCTGTTGGGTTTGCAACTTTTCTTTTCACAGATGACGACTGAGCATCGTGCTAACCCACCTCCTGCGTTATGTTGAGCAGTTCTGATGAACTTGGAAGCGTTCCAGTTACATTTCTGTGCAGAACTAAGTCTCCAATCTACTTCGGAGGTCGACAATAACAAGCCCACATTTCTCTTTTGCTAATACAAAACTGCCTGGAAAGATGTAAGATGTCAAAAACTTGTTTGTTTGTTTGTTTATCTATTTAGTTAATGTCCCTAACTTGTCCGCGATTTCTAGTTTAACATATTCAAGTTTTGTGTATGCTTCTTGTACTCAAAAACTTTTCACACACATCTTGTCATACGATACAACAAATTATTGTTTTAGTTATTCTGGAAGTGACTGTATTGTGGTCTCTCTAAAATCATGACTATTTTCGTGCATGATACCCACACGAGTGTTTCAAGTTATTTGTAATAATAACAATAAAAAAAAGAAGCTTCGGTATGTAGGGAATATTATGAAGTAGCATGAATCTTTAAGACGAACAATTTTATTTCAATTTTATTTTCGACAAATTTCTAGGTCCTTTTTAAACAATAAGATATGTTAACATTGTTCAAGTTTTATTGATCTTTTCGAAAATCTAATTTGGTTTGTGTGTAGTTTTTACATGATTGGATTATTCATCAATTGATTTGTGAATATTTGAAAACCAGAACATTTTATGAACTAATTTTGTTATTTTGGTTGAATCTAAAATCTTTAAACCTCAAAAGGCATCTTGTATCTTTAAAACTGTTTGATTGTAGATATATAGATTACACAGCTTTGTTTTGCTTCAACAGTAACATGTTAAAAAAAGCTGTGTAATATATATATATATATATATATATAATTAAAAAAACTAAGATTTTTTCATCTCAAATAAAGTATATGTTAAAGAATAATGATAAAATAATATAAAACTTTGAACTTATGCAATAACTCAGAATATTAAACTCTTGGAGATTTAAAATTAACTACAATAAATAAGTAAAATATCAGTCAATAAGACCCAATACATAAAAAAATGTGGCACTCTGGCAGCCGTGCATGGCGTTCCCAGCGGCTGGTTGCGCACGTGCCAACAAGGCATGTAGGGGATGGCTGATGTGGCACCTGAGTTGCTCGCTGGCAGCCAGAGTGCCACAGTGGCAGGGACATGAACGTAGAGAGAGCGGATGGGTGGATTGGTGGGTTGGTGGATGGATGAAATAACCTTTATAGGTGTTTCCAGAGGGAAGGAAGGGACAGAAAGGAGCCTTGTGGCCCTTGAAACAAAGGGTGACCCAGATTTCATGGAAACCCACCACCACCCTAAATTTGAGAGGCCCTGTGACAGAGAGGGAAGGAGGGGGAAGTACAAACAAGGGCAGCATCAAATCATGCCTTTCCAGAGCTGGCAAATAACAAAAGCCCATTTCTATATAATATATCATCCCCCCCACCCATGTAGGAATGAATATTATGTGAATTCTCATATATACATATATTCCCCTTTTATTATGAGTGAATGCCTCTGCCTAAGTATATGGCACCCAGATCTCACCTTCTAGATTTTGTGCCTTGCTTGTTGTCCTAACCAAAAAATCTCATTGCCTGTCCGAAACCCTAAAAGCAAAAGCTCCAACAACATGGGATGTGCCCCATGTGGGAAGGAAAGCATTACACCCTTCGTAAAAATCCTTTTCCTTCTCTATTTTTTTACTCTACTTACTTTTTTACTTTTTATTTTTATTTATAGGGGAATGTGTTTTTTGTTTATGGGTTTGATTTTTATTTTTTTTGAACCCAGTTTGAAAATGGGAGATGGATGTGAATATGGGCCTGTGGGGATCCACTCTCATGTATGTATACATGCAGGCGTTGTTGGGCCATGAGGCCTTGAAGAGTTAATTGTCTGAGAGTTAGGAATTGCTTCTAAGCACATAGTTTGTTTAGGTTTTTCTTCACCATGGATTTTGCTTCTTTTTCCTTTTTCTTTTTTTCACACAAACGTGCTTGCTAGATGAAACCTGTGTACTTGACCATGAAAATGGTTCAGATAAATTTCTATTTATTACTTCCTTTCAACACATTACCCAGTTTAGGAACGATTCTGTTTAGCTCCAGCATGTACTCTAGGTGATGACAAAATTGTTAAAACTAAACCAAACCAGTGGAGCTTGCTTGCCTGTATTATTTGCTGACAGTGAGTTGTTATTTCTTTGGTTCTAACTAGTCTATTTTTTAAATAGAAAGCAAAGATAAAAGTAAACAAAAACTGTTGGGTGCCTGCCAGACCACATCAGTCCCCAAGCTCTGCACCCCACAGACATCTGCAGCATGTACAGGATTCTAAGGTCCACAAATTTACCTTGAGGTGGGGAAAGCCTTGTGGGAACTCCAGGATCCAGTTGGTTAAGTTTTGTACAGTGTGCAGTAGCAGCACAAGCAAGGGGCAATGCTGACTGGTCGAATCATCTCGTTTAACTCTGTTCCAGAGTTAGATTGTCCAGACAACAGAGGGCTGTTTCAGAGCCATGTCATTCATTCCACTTAAATGAAGTTTCAGAAGGTCCTTCCCTCCTACCATTTCTTCACACTGCTCAGGAGAGCTTCATTGGGATTCTCCCTATTCTGCGCCACGCATCGCAGTACGGTGGAATGAAGCATATGTTGTACATATCAACGGAACTTCCTTCACAGCTTTTAACTTCCAAGTTTGATTAATATATTTTTTTATATTTTTGTCTTCTGCTGACCGGAAAGAAGAAACTAGAACATTCATGGACCTGGAACGAAGCATTTAAGGATTATTCACATTAGACAAAAGAATGGCTGTAACTAACATGGGGGAAAAGGAAAAAGGGAAAGAGAAACCTTTCGCATATGCTTTGACTGGTACGAGATTGTTTTGTACTATGATACAATAAATAATACTCACGCATCCTCCTGTACAAAACGTAGCAGCAGGACAATCCACATCCCTTTTCTGCATGCTGCTTCCGGTGAGATGCTTGGTTGTCCTTAATAATTACAACCATCACAAGCTCAAATTATCTCAGCAAGTGTTCTCTGTATCAAAATAGAATTATCTTAACGCATCCATCACTCTTTCCTTACTCCACTCAGACATCCCCCCCAAAATAGGACAATAAAAGAAAGAAGAAAAGAAAAAACTACAGCGCCAGCTTGAGATTTAAATCCAAGAACTCTCGCTTCTCCTGTCTTCCAGTTTGTTTGTGGCAGTCCTCTGTCACGTTGCTGGATGAGGTGGATGTGAATCTGCAGCTGAGGCCTACGGCACTGAAGAGACTGGTGTCTGTGCAAGAAGGAGAATAGATGCCGCCCATAACAGAGGGAGCACTCTCCTGTAACCAACAAACAAATACGAGTGAGCAAAAATGTCGCTGTCCATATCTGTAGGTTCAATTCAAAATAGCGCGAGCATTAGGTGCAAATCAAAACCCCAATACCAGAAATTTTACCTCGTGACGGTAAAACATTTGAAGATGTAGTGCGCTATCCAGCGCTTGAGAATTCCTCATCCGCTTCACTTGGTTGCCCTCTTCAGGGCTCATTGATTCCTTGCTGTCCACTTCAACTCCAAATTGCGGACTAGTGGGATATGAGCGGCTACTGATCCCAAGAGTAAGAAAGTCACCGGATGTTTCAGCTCCCGTCAGCATTGGAACGTCGGGACTTGAAAGGCATCTCTGTCTGGTGACGGGCGACCCACACGGAGAACACACACTTGAGCAACAATCCTTGATCTTGGATTTAGATGGGCAGCTAACTTTTAAGAAAGATTCTACGGAATGGAAGCCCACGTCCGTGATTATGCTTAAGTTTTGAGTATAATTTTCTTGCCATGGTGCACACGCTTTGTCCTTCAGGAGAAGTAAGGTGTTACTAGGGCCACCCCTGCAGTGTATAGACAAGTGATAATCAACAATCGTGATGACCGTTCACTACAAGTGTTCCTGAGCAAGATCCCAACGAACCATGAACTATACTATTTACTGTCTAGAAGACTTATACATGTACACACGAGCATCTAGTACCCTTCAAGACAACTCAAAAATCTTCTAGTACGATACGCATAGCACAACCCTTTTCTAAGGATACATAGTGATCAATTCGGAGCTAGAGCAACAGAAATGCATGAGCAAGAACTGTACCCAGATACTCCAGTTGTGTGATGAACTCCCACTGGACTCACGTGTCCATCGGATACACCACCATAACAACCACTCTGTGCTACCTGAACCTCGCCGGCGGGCGCATTCAGATCCAGATCCTCAGAGTGCATCGACTTGCAAGTATCCTCCTTGATATCGTACCATGGTCGCTTTTGCCCAGGTACCTGAGTTCATCACTCATCAAATACGAAGTAATCATTAGACAAAATGTAAGGATCAGTGGTGAAATTCACTTGCAAGTGAATCAATTCGCAATATGGCAGCACTAAGCGAATCCTGAAACCTACACAACTTGCATTCGACCTTCTAAGATTATACATTTGACAATGAAAGAAATCAAACAAGCTGAGTTAGCACGCAACATACCTTCTCAGTAGCAGACCATGTATTATTGCTTGAAAAGCTTTGGAAAGAAGAGAGCTCCTTTGGTCGGCCACAATTAATCGCAACGCCAGTCTGCTCAACAACCGAAAAATCAGTAGAAAGCTCTCATGTCGCATCAAAAAAGTAGGGACAGTACTAACAATCACCTCACCTCAGACGCCCGATCCTGGGACGGGTAATGAAGGCTCACATACAACAACGTAAAACGCCTGCGGTAATTTATGTTTTCTAATGTAGCAAAACAGAATTCCGTAGAAACCAGTGCGGAGCATGTGGAGGATTCAAATTGGAATTAAGAGGGGTAGAGTGGGCACCACCGGTACTTCAGCACGATCTTGTGGGAGGCGGCGTAATTTGGCAGGACCTGAAGAGGATTCAAAACACTGTAGACTGCTCGGAGTAAAGACAGACATTGCACTATTCCTTCCAACTGCTGGAAAGAGCTTCGTATCAACCATCCCAGCATCCCCAACACCTTTACTGGTGACTTGGAACATGTGAACGGACTCCCTATCCACCTCTGATAACCGCTGTACCTCGTGCTCCAAGTTCGATGCGAGACTATCGACTAGGTTGGCCCCTGCAGGGAATGAGTTGGAGAGTAAGGACGACTTGGCTGTGGAACTCGGAGGAGAGCCAAGACAAGCCTGAGCACATGAAGGTAGCTTGCCAGAAGAACCCTCCACATAGACACTGGTCTCACACGAACCTTGACCTCTACTTCCAGGTCTCTCAGACAAGGAGCCCAAGCTAGAAACGGTCCGTATAGAATTACATCCATAAGAATGGTCCCTGATTTCCCGATTCTGGGCGAACATGAGAGCTGCAGATTGTCCGCCTCGGGCACGGCGTGCAAATGACCCCGTAGTGGAGTGGTCAACGTTCGCGAACGACATGATAGCCCGAAACGTCTCTCCGTCCACAGCAACTTTACTGAGCTGACGTCCGTCTCCGCTGAGGTAATGCAACTTGTCGGAGGGCCCAGTCCGGTCATTGCAGAAGGAAAAAGCTGTGCTGTGAACTGGCTGGTGCGACATAGTGCCATTTTTCATGCCTCCATTCTGATCCATGAAACCAAAAGGGGGGAACCCTTGAAACGATGCAAGACAGACCGCTTCCTGCTTGCTCTGCTCTTGCTTGCTCTGCTCCTGCTTGCTCTCCTCCTGCTTGCTCTGCTCCTGCATCCTCAACTTCTCCAGTTGCGCAACTCCCAGTCCCCTCTGTGGCTGTTTCTTCTGCGCGCTCTTCACCTTTCGTGCCCTACCCCGCCCCTCGGATGAAACCTTGCGGTGAAGGCCTTCGTGCTCCCCATGAGTACCTGCCTTCTCCTGCTGCAGCCGCCCCTGCTCTCTACTCGCCATTGATAACTTTTCAACTGCAGCCAGCTCAGGCCCGCGAATCAACAAAGTAGCCATCCTCTACTCACTTTCTTCCTTTTTTTTTCCTAAGCCACTTCGACACACTTTTTCTTATCACACTCACACAAACCCCCGCTCCACCTTCCCTTTCCTACCCTCGTCTCACCTCACCTCCAATCTAAACTCAACCCCTCCTACTAAGATCGCTCCCGTTCAAGTAGTCCCACTTCGCGCCACCTCCGATAGAAAAATCCAACAACCAGAAATCAAATTCCTCATACTTCCCAGCCATTACCAAAGAGACGCCAGCATCGTACCACCGCCGCGCAACTTTACCCCGGGTTAGAACTGCTCCACACGAAAGAGTCCGCGAGAAACACAAAGTCTGACCTCCTGTAGGGGCTCATCAGATCGGTCGACCACCGTCGCGCGGCACACTCCTTAATCCCTCTTTCCCCCCGGCCTCTGCCTCCCCGCCTCCACGACCGCGACAACACTAACTGGATCAAAAAGCCCCCCCACTCCCCATCCCCCTTCCTCCTCCTCCTCCTCCTCAAGAGAAAACATCAAATGCTCAACGACGCTCCAACATGAACAGTGGGCCGCCTGATTTGGCCCGCCAGCGAGATTCCTTGTAATCAAAGAGAGAGCCAGAGAACCAGGAAATGAGGCGAACAACGGAAGGGGTCAAGCACAGGTAAGGGGAGGGAGGAAAGAGTCGCACCGAGCCCAAAGCAACAGCAACAGCAACTCACTTCATCACCACCAGCACCAGCAACAGCGGGAGCAGCAGCCATAGCCGTGGCCGGCAGATCTCCCACTCCCCACCCCGATCTGTTCGGCCTGCCCTCTCATCCATCCATTCCCCAACATCCAACTTCCATCCTTTATTCTTCGTCTCCATTTGTTTTGTTTTATTTTGTATTGTATAGGTTTGGGTTAGTTTCAGCCCCCACACTTTGTCCTAGGTCTGCCCATGGAGTATTCTTCACTTGGGGTCCATTCCCTCCCTTCCCTTCCCTCCAGCAGTGGGGTGTGGGAGTGGGTGGCTTTTTCTTCCCATGAGCCTGCCACTGAGATTCATGCCTACAGATGGTGCCAAAAAGGAATAAATCATTAACTTAATGCACATGAGAGAGTCCATGCATTCTGGGGTACCAAAAGTCCTATGATTGTTCCCCCTCCCCATCTCTATATCAAGTATATATATATATATATATATATTCATACATACATGTATAGTATCAACCAAATTTCACCTCACACATGTGTGGGAACATGGTCTTACTGAAGGGCCCTTTCTGCCCTTCATGGTCTATTTTTATACCTGTGCAAATAGACATCTCTGCATTTTAAATATATAAATATTAATATATATAACAGAGTGCAGAGAAGAGTCCATTTAGAAGGGTGGCTGAGTGGCCTTGTTTGGTGTGCTTTTCCCATCATGGATGGTTCCCCACATGTTCCCTTGTCCACCCTACAATATTGAAACAAGGGAAGAAACCAGTTGGACTGCCATGAATGAATCTAGGGGGGCTATAATTCTAGTTGCCAATTATTTTGTAATAAAAATGGTCACCCATCAAATGCTGTATGTTGGAAAAAGAATTCACACATCCCTTTGGCCCTCAGGTTTGCATCTAAACTATAACCCATTCTCCCATATGCCATGCTTACCAGAGTCATGCAAAATATAAGTAGCATTGAAGAATTTTTTTTTGTGGAACCAAATCAAAATTTAAAAGGGTAGTATTCATGTGAGAATGAGGTACCTACAAATATCCATACACATTTCCCCTTCAACAGACATGTGTTTCAATCTGTTCTAGAGATGATATTATTATTCTCATCATTTTAGTTATTTGTATTGAATTACAAATAAACTAATGCTTTTTAAAAGAATCACAAGACAAATGTAGAGGGGGGGGGGGATCTAAGCATATTGGCCCACTAGCATAGAATTCTTACAAGATCTTGGTCTTTCTAGGGAACCGACAATGGGCCACTACTAACATGAAAGCACCAAATCTCAATCCCAACTCATTTGGAGGCTTCATTAGTTGTCTCAAACCCCACATTCATTGAATAAGAAAACAATTACTCTCTTCTTACCATGAGAGGACTCATGGCACCCAACAGGTACAAAACCCCCTTCCCCAAGGTTTAGGGTTTAGGAGTACAATCAATAAACCTGACCCCACTTGCCCCTTACCCTCACAAACAGTGAAATATAAAAACAAAAACAATACAATAAAGCTTACAAATGTTGTAGAAGTTAATAATAAAAATGTATAAAAATAACAAGTTTAGAGTAGTTGTACCATTCATGGCAGTGTTTTTGTCTTGTCTCCTATCTCGGATCATTGTTTTTATTTTTTATTTTTATTTAGTTCTTTAATATATTCCTCAAACAGAAATCCTACACAGTGGAAGTTGGTCTTAAAGTGCAAGAGGATGCCATTTTGGCACCCAATAAACCCAACTCTAACCCTAAAACTCATGCCTAAGGGGGATGAAGAGCTTGAAATCCTGTTCCCCTTTAATGGCCATGAGAAAGGAGAGACTTAATCCATATGGTGTGTTGTCATTTGCCAAGGGGCGGCTAAATGTGTGTAGTGGGGACCATTTTTAATGTTGTAAAACAGCATCATTAGTGATGCTAATAGAGCCAAGTCCTGGGAAGCAGCCCATGCTTTTCCACTAAAAGCTAGCAATTAAAGGAAAGTATATATTTACATTTTAAATCTTGTTGGAATAGCTCTTATTACTGGCCCTAAGTACAAGTAATCAGCCAACCAAGTTAGGGAAGGGACAATACACAACATACATACATACATACATACATACATACATTTTGGAATGAGGATGGTGAGTAATTTAAAACTGTTTCATTTTGTTATTTTATTATTATTATTATTATTATTATTTGTTTTTTTTGTTTTTTTGCTTTGTTTTCTAAAGTTATGGAAGAGCTAACAGCATACCTCTATGTTTGCATGAATTTATCTTTGATGGATTTGATTTTTAAACATACAAGTTTAATGATCAAGGATAAAAGCTTCATGAGAAGCTTTGTATCAATTTTGGAATACATAAAACATACATCTTAAACAAAAGTTTTTTTTTTTTTTTTTTTTTTTTTTTTTCTTTAACACATCCAAGGAGATAATATAAATATCTTACATCACACAAATATGTTTGTATGTATGTATGCTGGATAACTGCAGGGTATTTTTTAAAAATGATATTAATGTTAATAATAACAATAACAATAATAATAATAATAATACACTATGTGTGATTGAATAAATGGAGCATTTTCGGTAATATAATCTGTTTTCAGCCAATAAATCTTATGATGGTCGTTTGAATTTTTAAAGTAAAATTTGGATTATAATTTAACTCATTTTGGAGTATGATTCTCTGAACAATTTTGACATTTTAACTCGTGACATTCATACACATATGATTTATTTGTTTTAGTATCCATACTCATTGTTTCAATGTGATAGCAAAACTTAAAAAGTACCATGTTTGTTATAGAATGTGTTTTAACATAAATGAAGAAATGAATTGACAGTACTTCAAAGAGGTAGAGATAGTTTATAAAGAGAATCATGCATAGAATATAATTCAAACGATAACACGTCTGATTGTTTCATTGTAATATATATTCAATTGAGATGAATAATTCTAGATACAGCCAATTTCCATTTCCCAATTTTATACACATAAAAAATTTACAACATAGAATATAAATAAAAGTTCGTGGATTTCACATTATTACAAGTATTCTTTCATATAGACAACCAGATTACTTTAGTTATGATTTTGATTCTAAAGCACAGAAATCAGTGTTAGATTTTTATTTTGATTTGATCATATAATCTTTGTCATAATAGAATGAAATACAAAATTATTTTTGTTACAATCTCCCACACTTAATCACTACATAACATCACAAGGCTTATCAAGTAAACAATTTAAATGATTTTCTATCCATATTAAAAAATCTATGATTATTATTGTTATTATTAGTATTCCTCCCTTTGATCTACTTTTTTCTATTTCTAAAGAGGGCTCTTTCCATTAAATGCATCAACGAAGAGAAGATAAAGCCAAGAGGGAGTGTATGAGTGAGTGAGAATGAGTTTATGATTGATGCCTTGGATTTGGTTCTCAGCTTTTAACTCTTCTTCTTTCAAAAGTAATTGACCAGTACACAAGAAGTAAAATCCTCAGATCCTTATCCCAACTGCCCTCCAGAACCTTAATGCACTCAAGATATTTTTTTTAAAGCCTAATCCAATCACCTTCCTATCAAATCAAGTTGTTGGGTTTCAAACCTCAACTGGGTTAATCCAACAACATTCCTAGCATTTAAAGCTTGGATGCTACCTAATGCCAACCAAAATTAGCCACAACTTCCACACATCACTACCCTTTTGGGAACCACATGATAACTCCATGGGAGCGCTTGCCTAAGATCACACAAATAACTCATGACACTCTTTCTTATCTTTCTATTAATTTATTATTATTATTATTATTGATGGTAAGATAAAACTTTTAAGTGAGTAGGGTTTCAATGTTTGTGTTCATGATGAGATAGCATCCCAAACCATAATCTTTGTTATTTTGTTACATGGATCAATTAACTTTGAAAGAAACCATAAAGTTTAGTTTTGAGAAACCAATTTGGGTTCAATGTGTCCATTGTTGGCCTGGAACTGGATCATGTTTCATGTTGCAATCTGTTTTAAAAAATATTTCATTTGATGAACACCCATTATCAATCTCATTCGACTTTTTCACTAAGCATCTTCAGTAACATTGCAATATCTTAATCAGTTTATCTAACTAGATTTGACACAATTCACTTTTCTTATTAGTAGGGTATCATATGATTTGATCAATCATGTTATTTATTTAAAAAGAATTCACCCTTGATTTGTAAGTTGTTAAAGATATAGAATTTGATTGTTCAAAGTTAATGGATTACAGTATTGTTCCATAATCTATTATCATGTTTCACATTGTGAAAAGATCTAAGTATTACCTTATTATCTGCTGCACATTTTTAGCAGTCTTGTAATTTTGAATCTGCTTTGTTTTATTGTTTCAAATTGTTTTAAAAGGATCTCTTTCATCTAATGCACAAAAAAAATTCTCTTTTGAATTAGAACATAAAAGTTTTAAATGCAATCTACCAATGAAGATAACAGTACAGTTTTAAAATTTAGCAAAAAAAGATTTCACTTGAATAATATTACTGTATCTTTTTCTTTTGCACAATTGTTGCATTATCGTCCAATTTTGTTTTTACTAATTTTTACTTGTGTGACCACAAATATATTTAAATATCAATAAAATGTTTACATCAAAGATGGAATGTTGGGCGGCAGTAGAATCATGGCAGGATTGAAACTTAAGCTGCAATGCTCTCATGTACCCACAACAATTTAAAATAATAAAAAATGTCATAAAATAAAAAGTAGGATTTCATAAGAGCTTTTGCTAAAATAAAATAAGATTCAGATTTTTTGAAAATAAGTCAACACGACGTGTACACCACCAAAATTTCGTGGTCAAAATATTTTCACTGTTTTGAGTGAAAGTTTTTAGTATCACTTTATTTGATTTATTCTTTAATTTCTCTTCAAGTGAAAAAAATAATATAAATGTATAAATCAAGAGATGTCTTAACATTACTTGCAATTTAAATTTCCATGATAAAAAAACACAAATGTACATTAAGTTTCCTTCTCTCGCTGTGTGTGTTTGTTTATAAATTATCCTTCTTTCTTTTTCATCGTCTCGTTGTTACCTTATGATGATAAAATAATAATAATAATAATAATAATATTTATTTGGGATAGTTTATGGTCAAAACTGAACAATCTAAGTCACATTCTGTCCCAGCAAAGCAACCTTATAGTCACCATGTTCACATCACTCAGGCACACCACATGTTCATACTTTTTTTTTTCATACTCATTTTACTAATAAAACTTTCACAAAATAACACCCCACATCCAAGAGTACATTATCACTTCTACCAAACTACTACTCCCTCACAACTGCTCAATTTCCATTTACAAATTCAAGTCAGTTTGTTTGAACCCCAATCCCACCCCCTAGAATCCCACTCTATCCACACATCAAAAAACCATCAAATTATTCATCTGTCTTCAACTCTTCACACAATCTCTCTCACACTCATATACACAAAAACATATCTCTTCCAGTGTTTATTTCCTTATATGTATATATCCATATGTAAATATATTTGTGGAAGTGTGTGTGTGTGTGTGTGTTTGTTTTTTTTTCAGTGGTTTCCAAGTGGGCTGGGCTGTGTAGTTGTGGTTGTTGTGGACACAATGGAGACACAATTGTGTGCAGCAATGGAGTGTGTTTGGGTTTGTGGGTGTGTGTTTGTGTGTGTGTGTGCGAGAGAGAGAGAGAGAGAAACACAGAGTGTGTCTGTTGCAGCAGGAGGAGGTGACCCTTCCACTGCAATGACCCCAACCTGGTGACAAAAGGGTGCTTGCCTGCCTCCAGAGGGCGTCAGGGTCGTTGTCTCTTCAATCGCTTGAACCCTCCGCCAGGCTCAATCCTGTCACCAGTTTTGGTCTTGAGCTTATTCTCTCGTCAATTCTAGATAACCACCTTGTGATGTTGTGCGTGATTTCTGAGAACGATGGGCTGTGGTTTCCCTGTTTGGCAGGAGTTTGTGCCCCCTGGGAGGAGTCAGTTCCTTACTTGTTTTACGGTGCGCATGCTTTTACATCGCGGCGAGCAAGACTTACAATAGAGATAGCTCCGTTGGGGGGGAGGCTCTGGAGTCATGAGAATCTGCGTTTGTATGGGTTTTGTTCCATTGCGGAACCTTTCTTGACTCTCAAAAGTTTATTCCATCCCAGGGTTTGCGATGAAGGAACTTGGGGTGGAACCATTTGCCTATGTTTACGCGTCGTAAAATTAGGGGAAGGGCCTTGGAAGAATGTCAGGCATGGACGTCGCTGACACGAGAGAGGGTTCTCAGGATGTGATATGAACCTTTCAATGCACGAGGAGCCCTGTGACCCTCCCACTCGTCCAATTAGTAGACGTGCCAGTGCACATCTAATTCAGTATCACTTCTGTCAGTCATCTGAAATGCCTTGGATTCAGTGGGTTGTCTCCGGATGTAACTTTTCAGCTGCCCATTGACAAGCCTTGTACTGAGATCTTCTGCAAGGCCAGCTCTTCTTGAGCACGCGTCATTTCTCTGCTACGTGTGCAATCCTCAGATGCATGAACTGTTAGCAAACTATCCTTCGGTTTAGTTCTCTATAAGTCCTTTGAACATCGTGAACTCCTTACTGTGTGCAAGGAGTAATGGCTTTGTCCACATATATCGGTGACAGTGGCATGGGAACTTTACCCGAAAAGTACACACATATGCAGCTTCATGCATTCCAGAGTACAATCTCTTTCTCCCTCGAATGTTTTCCGAAGGCCATTACTTTTGTAGCAATCCTCTGAAGACACTGTTTGTAGGTGTTACAATGAAGAAACAGTTTTGGTGAAACTGAACAGTACCCTTCATGCATAGCTTCGAATTATTGCCTCGGTTTCTGGATTTCTAGATTCTCACTCTTGCTTAAAACTTCAATTCAGATCAAATATTAGGGCTCGATTCTTTTACGATAACTGCTGATTCTTCACATTCACTAATGCGGATGCCTTAGTGATTTAAGATAGCAATTTTTTATGCAGAACTGAACTTTTTATTAAACATCAATGGAACTTCAGGGACTTCGAAAGTTTGAGGATGTACGTTTCTGAAAATGTGAGAAAAGTTACAGTCCCTTATCAACACTCCTAAACCACACTGGTTTATCGCCACAAGCCTCTCTACTTCTGTGAGCTTGTCGAAGACGAGGCAGACGAAAATATTGTGGGTAATGCTTTCTCGAAATTTGTTATTACAAAAGAAAAAAAAATTCCTCAACGTCTGTTCAAAGATTCCCTACTTGTTCTAATGCCGAATGTAAATAAGTCAGGCACCTACAAACTGCAAAACTGCAATCGATAAGTCATCTAAATATTCCAAGAGTATTCCAATCACATCGAATCATCCGTGTGGACTACGGATTTCTCATTCTCTAAGCCAAGATGGTCTTCCTGAGGATGAAGAAAACAGAAGAAAACCCAACCTTACACAAGAGGTACCTCCGTCCAGCACACGAGTATGCAAAGATATATGTATTGCTGCAAAAGAGAGTTGCAAATCAGCAACCAGGGTCTGATTCCTCTTAGATGCTTCGAAGTCGTAGGCAAGCTCCTGCTCGAGCGTCATTCGGACAGAAGACACCGAATCCTCAGACGATGATCCACTGGTAAGAAAGGAACGAGCGGGACCACAAACATGTCCATTGCGACTCTCAGATGTAGATGCCCAACTGCGCCTGCACCACAGAACATGGCATTTGCTCACAATCACCACAAACAAGTTGGAAGTTTGTGTGTGATTCTCCATGCTCCTTGCAAGCTGAACATCAACCCGATCCCTTTGAGCCTGAACACCTGGAGGAACACACATGAGCCTCAAAATGACGCACGCGAAGAGGAAGAAGAAGAAGAAGCTCAAGCTGGTTCTACATACCGGATGATCATGAATGAGCCTTTGGTGCATGACCCACGAGAAACAAACGGTGATCTGAACATGGGTACACGACGATGAATTGCACCGGATTGTTGGGGAAATGCACACCAATTCTGATGCACGGTTTCATTCATTGTTCGAAACCAATCCTTCGGTGGAAACCCACAAACTCCCGTCGTGGAAAACACATCTGCAACTCTCACTACGGCAACTAAACTGTAGGTATGGGTGGTGTGCTTTTTTGTATCCTCCGGACACATTTTGTTGTAGTTTCCTTTGTTGGTTGGTGTGTTGATTCCATTTGGCAAAGTGATGAAGTTATGGTCCGGAATGACCCAACACTACCAAATGACAACCCTACCAAAGGATGGCAGACTAATTCAAAGGGTTGGTTTCGTGAACCCTAATTGTAAAATCTCAATCTTGTTTGCTAGATGTTACCACAAATGTCAATACATAAAAATGAAAAATGAAGTTGTGAAATTACATCTTCTTTTGCAAAGAATTGTTTGCATTCACGTATTTACAATTGATTGAATATTATATAATAGTATTGGTAATCAAAACAAGAGCCATACATTTGATAGATTTTAAATTATACATCAAGATAATAGATTATTTTTTGTTTTGTAGTTATGTAAAAATAAGTTTGAATATATATATATATATATATATATATATACACGGAAATTTAATTTGGTTTAATTTGATACTTTTGTTAATTTTGTTATTTTTTTTTGATGTATATTAGATATTTATTGACAATTTATCATAGAGTGACATGATTTCAAGGTATTATAAAACCTACTTTGACACTTATTTAATGTCATGTAGTTGATTTATATTAAATTCTAGATAATTAGGATATATATATATATATATATATATATATACATACATACAGATACATACATATTTAAATAGGCATGTAAAAGTTTTGTGTTGTTATAGCAAAAGAGTCTAAGAATAGTTTGTGTATACAAATAAATAATAAAACTCTTATGTACAAATTACATTTAATAAAATATTGTGAATATTATCCAAAATGAGATTAAAAAAACAAAATTCAATCAAATCTAAAAGAATAGTTATTTTTTTTACAACAATATTCTATTGATAACAAATCAATGTTTTAGAATTTTTTATTTTTTAAGGTCTAAGATAAAATAGAAATAATGGTGAATCTGCATGTTTTAGATTCTTAATATAATATTATAAACTTTGTACAAGTCTATTTAATGAATTGAATAAGATTCTTTAAAAATTAGCATAGTAAATATGTTATATAACTTAATGTAGCTCAAATTAGTTAAATATGTAAATTTTTTTAAATGTATAATCTATCCATGAATTTTTTTTATCCAAATTATGTACAAATCTAATACAAAATGAACTATTTTTAAAATTAAGTTTTAATAATGTACAACCAATAAAAGCTATAACCAAAAATATTTAAATGAATTCTATTAGGTCTATTAAATTTTATTTTGACATAATTGGAAGTATGTGGCAATGAAATAAATTAACTTTATCATTATCAAATAGAATTTTAATAAATAAATAAATAAATAAATAAAATATTTGCCTAAAAAAATTGTTCAATTGTCTTTTAGTTTGTAGTTTCTTTGCAATATTATTTGATTTAAGTAATTTCCTTTAACTATCTCTTTAGTGCATAGTATAGTATAATTTTGCATTACAAATTGAAAGAATAGTTTAATAAAACCAAAATAGGTGTAATCATTATTTTCTAATGTAAAATAATATGTATAAAGAATATTTCAAATAATCTAACATAAAATGATTTTTAAAATGTAAACTAAAATATATTATATATCTTGCATATAAACATGCACTATATTCTAATTAGACATATATCCATCTTATATTTTTATTACATATTATAAATTATATTATCAATAAATACACATTATTTCTAATCTATTGATAGAAAAAAAACTTATATTGTTAACCAATCTAATTAACTAGAGATATTTTGAAGAACCAATCCAATAAGAAAAATTTAAAACAATTGGATCTAGATAATAGAAGATATATTAGAGATATCTCGTTCATATAAGAATTAGACCAATAGGATATAAATAATAGAAGTACAAGCAAAGATATTCAATCTATGTAAGATCTTGATGTTCTAAAGTTTGGATTAAAATATATTAGATTAAAACATATTACAATAGGAGAGTATGTAGCTAATAAAATGATTGCTAGTTGCTAGCACTTAATAAAAATAGTATAAGTAACCACCAAGACCATTAGTTAGAAGATGATGTAATATCAAGTACCAAATATAAGGTATAATTGTTATTGTTGTTATTATTACTATTATTATTATTATTATTATTATTATTATTATTATTATAATATTTTATTAAAATTTATTGTTAATACAAACTATTTTTTAAATTATTGCTTTATTTTCTCAATTTAAGTTTGATTATTGCTCTTTTTATTGGAGTTGAGTTGTATATAGTCTAATTCATAATAGTAGTTTGAGAAAAAATTCTCTTAATGTGAATTCCAAATACAATTTATCAACTTCAATCTAAGAGAAATTATTTTTGGAATAGTACTTGCAAATCAATGTTTGACAAGAGATGTAATAATCTAATGTTGATTTAAGGTGATTGATAAGCTCTTTCCAAATCAAAGCTATATATGGCGATCATCTTTTATGTTCAAACTCTAGCATCTATAGTTTTATTTTTAACAATTGCACTACTTACTTACTATGAAGCTATACCAAGTTTAGACAATTATTATCCATTCACATGCACTTACATCTACAAGTTCAAAGCACGTTTGGCTAACAAATTAAAAACTATAATTATATTAATCTAATTGAAGGATTTTTGGTATTTTTTGTACTTCCACTTGCTCTACAAATACAACTACATTTTTTTGATAGTTGTCATTATGGCATCATTTTCTTCTTACTTTGAATACATTCAATTATCTATTCTATCTAAAATCATTTTTAAAATATCCTACATATCTTGTTTTATCCATAAAACAAACTTCAATAATAAATGTGGTCTACTACTATTCAAAAGATTTTCAATATGTTGATATGGAAAGATGGTATGGGTCAAATTATTTATTCTTGCAAGCTTTATATGTCTCTCAACCTTAATAGAAAAATCTATGGAGTTGTCAAACTTGACTAATTTAAAAATGATCTCTAAGATGATCAAAATTATAAGTGGTTTTTGACATATATTATAATAAATCCATCTCACTCATTTAAAGACATCTTAGTTAAATTTCAACTTCAATACTTAAATATTTTTAATGATGATTAAACATATATTTAGTTTTATGATTTATATTAATTCACAACCAAAGCTATCTATAATTACTATAAATATATAATATTATTAGTTATAAAAGTCAAGATTACACTAAGTAAGCAAAACTGTACCTTTGTTGTTACTATTATAGATTATTATTCTTTGCCACATTAATTTTGTTTCATCTTTTTTTTTTGTGAAGTTATATTGTTACATAAAACATATATTACTATTTTATTTAAAATTACTATTATGATTTTTTTTATTTTATTATAATTATAATTATTATTTTATTGATAATTTAAAAATAAATAAATAAAATTTAAATATATGAAGATAAAACTAATTTAAAATGATATATTTATATTCTTTAAGATTATATCAAAAAAATTAATTATTCTTTCAAGATATCTTTATCTTTTGATCTTTTGTAGTATAATTAAAAAATATTATAAAAAATTAACGATTTTAATTCAATAAAAAACTTTATTACAAGCATTATTTTTAAATATATAATCTTAAAAGATGAGAAGATGTTCAATCCTACAAAGATCAATGTTGTTTAGGATATGCTTAAATTCTAGTAATTTGTTAACATCTAAGTAATAAATAGCTTTATCAAATTTAATTATATTCATATCAAAATATATACTTATATTATAAAATTAATTACTTAAATAAAGAATAAGACAAAATAATTTAAATATATGGACATATAAAAGTTTGTATGACTATATATGAACTAGTAATATACCAATGGCTTCATCATGATTTCTCTATAAATGATTTAAGATTTTATGTATATATAGATGTATCAAATATTATAATAGAAGGAATGTTAGTTCAAAGTCCACTCAAAAATACAATCAAGTGATTTCTTATATATTTTAATAACTAAATTCAATAAAAAAGGATTACAAAAAAATCAAAAAAGAAACTTTAGCTATAGTATGGGCCCTTCTTAAGTATTTCTAATATTTATTGGAAAAAATAGTTTTTTATATATATTTTATAGCATTGGAATATCTAATAAATAAACCACAATTGTTAAGATTTATTATTAAATGCTTCTTATTTGTTTAGAAGTACAACTTTATATTTATTTTCATACTTACCTAGACACATAGTATAATTCATGCTTTATCTTGTTTCTTAAAAGAAGATCTATTTATAGAAACATCGAATTAATCTTCCAAAATAATCCTTTTTATGCTTAGTTGGAGTAGCTATAAGACATTATAACACATTTAAAAACTAGTAATTCATTCTTTTAAAAAATCAACTAAAAATTAGCAAGCACTATTATATAAATTTATTTCTTACATATATAATAATAGAATATTATATTAAAAAAGCCATGTGGTGCAAAAAGTACTCATTTCCTTGGACATGGAGACTTTCTTATGCTAATTACACTAAGACATTCTTGATAGACATTCCTACTAAGATAATATTTTAAAGAAGATTTTCTATGAAGGATATTAATGGTCAATCTTTGAAAAGGATGTATTTATATTTTGTAGCTTGTGCAACAAAAGAAAAATAAATCATTTCTTATTTTGTATCTGTCACAAAATTTCAAACTAAACTATTTTAAAAATGATATTTGAATATTATATGTCAACTTAAATTTATTTCAACTTATGTAAGCAATACATGTATCTTAGTGGCCACTAATTATGCCATCAAGTGGATCAAAGCTCATGCATTTAAGACAAATACGGCTATAATTATTAACTACTTCTTGTATAAATAATTATTATTCCAATGCAATTATTTATTAATTCTTTTCAATCAATAAGGCATTTATTTTATAAATAAAGCAATTAAATATCTAAAGGTATGTTTTTTTGTTACAAAAATATATCTTACTAAAAATTTGCTCATTTTAAAAATATTTAGCACAAATAAAAGCCTTTAAGTGGTGGAATTGAGTTTTTATTAAATTTTTATAATAAATATATAATCATGGCAAAAGAAATGATAAGATGACCTTATAGGACTATAAAAACTTAAGA